TGTGTGTGTGTGTGTGTGTGTGTGTGTGTGTGTGTGTGTGTGTGTGTGTGTGTGTAAGCTCTTCCGTGGTCCTCATCACAGAACACAGAATTGTGCCTTTGGTCAAGTGTGTGTCAGGATGTGGTCAGTCTTGATGCGGATGAGTCATTTCTGCAGATCCTGGCACCCAGCCACACTCAGGCACAAATGCACACACATGTGGACGCTCCTATGACTTCACGCTCCTCTGTGCCCTCTCACACCACATGCACCAACGTGTGCAATGCTTACTAATTTCCCCAAGTGTCAGTAAGATCTAGTAAAACTGAGAGATGTGGAGACGCCCAGAGACAGCAAGGCCAGACAGACAGACAGGGACAGTTCAGGACAGGTGTGTGCTGGGGGAACTAAGGGCCCCTCCAGACCATTCTCAACTAACTCCTGAGCCTTCCCCACCCTATATTAAACCCCAAACAGTTGGTCTCTGAGATTCCAGCACTGACCTCCTAGACCCAGCTACCCCCACATTCCTTCCTCACAGGGCTCACCTTCTGCCCTTCCCCGCCGCACAACCCCACCCAGCATGCCTGGGGAATAAGGCTGTTTTCTTGAGGAGCTACAAGAAAGAGGGTGAGGCTGGGGCCACAGAAGACCCCTTGCTGTATCTTGTATTAGCTTGTGATTCCTTTTAGGGTTGAAAGGTATGTTAGCTGGGATTATGAGTGAAGACCCTGGGGAGTCTTTAAAGGAGGCCAGAAGAGGAAAAGGCAGGGGGAGAGGGGGCAGGATGTAAACTTTTTTCTTTCTTTTGTGGTTCTAGGGATAAACCTAGGCTCCCTCTACTCCACCACTGAACTTTACTTATTTTGAGACAGGACCTCACCAAGTTACCCAGGCTGGGCTCAAATTTGTGACCCTCTTGCCTTAGCCTCCAGAGTGGTTGGAATGATAGGCATGTCACTGAGCCTGATTGTCCTTGGGGTCTTAGGGGAGGTACTCCCTCTGGGAGCATAGAGGCTTTGGGACCTGGTCCCATCTAGGCAGGGTCCCCATCTTCCCTGGCCCTCTGGTCAGGAGAGCTCAGAGGTAGATGGAGGGTTGGAACTAGAATCCTACCCCCCTACCTTCCCCACACCTGCTTGCAGCTCTGGCCTGGCCGGAAACGGAAGCCTGGGCTGGCTTTGTTGGGCTTCCTGGGGAAAGGGGAGCTGGCCTGGGGATGACTCAGCAGAGCTGCCTGTGCAGAATCCCAGCCGCCCAGCATGTGTCTCCTGTCCCTGAGGAAAGGTCCCGGCCCCTCTGGGGTGTTGGAGCAAGGGCCACACCTGGGGTTGCCTCTGCACAGCACAGATCTGCCCTTGTCCCCCGCCCCAAGGCCCTAGATAGTGGTTCCCTTGTAGGGTCAAAGGAGGCAAGGCACCCAAAACAGCAGGAGACAGTTTATTTGGCTGCATCCAGGTTCAGGGGGCACAGCTTTTGCTGTGATCCATCAATCCCCTGAACCCTGAACTGAGTTCAGGGAGTTTCAGAGTTTTATACCCAGCATGTAAGGGGAGGGGCTCAGAAGTTCCCAGTCTGCAGAAGTTCACATAAAAGCAGCTTTTTCTTTCACTGTTCTGGGCAAGTTAACCCTTCAAGGACCACACCTGAGAAGGGGAGAGCCTCTTCTCCCCTTCCTTTCCTCCCCTGCCAGCTGTTACCATGGAGCCCAGCTGTAACTTATCTTAAAAATGCAGACATCTCTGTGAAGCCCAGCTCCAGGCCAGAGGCCTTGTTTGCACATTTCTTCAAAGTACTCTACTGGAAACATTAGTGAAAAATTATTAAGAGGTGTCCAGCACCTGGAGTGCTGGTGTCTTCTCAGCCAGTGGCCAAGTCAACAGGGCAACAGGAAAACAGGAAGTTTATCTACATTGGACTCTTTCTCAGAGACTTTGGCTGACAGTCCTAACTCTTTTAATGACAGTCCGTGGCTGATTAGCCATGGTGAAGAGGGCTTTTCGGTGGAGAAAGGGGGTGCCCCTTCAGTTCAGTTCCACCCCCCTCCCACTGTCTAAGATGGGGCCCACCCTGTTCCTTGGGGATGAGGAGGGTCAGGGTGTCTGAGTGTCCATGGAAAGACTCAGACTGGGTGGAAGCATTGCCCCAGGCCTGAGCCGGGAGAGGGTCCTCCGGAGGTCCCCGTCCACAGGTCCCGCTTCCCCAGGCGGCTCTGACCCACACCCACCTCCCCATTCCTCCCTCACACCGCGGCCCTGACCTCACTGGGGCCTTTGTCCCAGTGCTGAGACCCCTGTCTGTGGGCTTGTCTCCTGCACAGTAAATGAAAGGACCCCATTGTCCTGGCTGCCCGCTGTGACACAGCAGCTCCCGAAGACTTCCAGAAATGCTCAGCCCTCAGACCCTGGTGGGCGGGAGGACTTTCCCGGGGTGGGGGTTGCCCTTAGATCCCTGCCCAGGGTGAGGACCCAGGTGCACACCTGTGAGCCCAGCCGCTCAGGAGGCTGAGGCAGGAGGATGGCGAGTTCAAAGCCAGCCTCAGCAATTTAGTGAGGTGCTGAGCAACTCAGTGAAACCCTATTTCTAAATAAAATGCAAAACAGAGCTGGGGATGAGGCTCAGTGGTTAAGCGGCCCTGGGTTCCAAATTATGTCACAGTGAACTTCAGCTCACTTTGCTGGGGAAACTGAGGCGCAGTGAGATGTCCCTGGCCGATGATACAGGAGTCCCGAGGTGCTGCTTGGGGTCTAAGGAACATGGGCAAGGGACTGCGGGGTGCCCCCTTTTAGAAAAGACAGAAGGTGGGTGAGAACAGGTGGAGAGCTGGATTCCCCAGAGTCCTGTGAGACTGACAGCTGGGGGTGTCTGCCTTTAGTGGGGAGGACGGAGTCCTGGAGGACGCAGGAGGGGCCCAGAGCCAAACAAAGTGTCCCAGCCACCCTTGCAGGGGCCCAGGGGCCGACTGTCAGCAGCTGAGCCACAGCCGCCGGGAGGGGGTTCCTCGACAGAGGCCCCTGGCACCTGCCTCCGTCTATTTCTGGAGCCACAGCTGAGTCGCAGGAGGGGAGTCTGGATGGAAGAGGAAGAGGCTGGGGAGGAGGAAAAGGCTTCAGGACTTGGGATTCAGGGCCTGGGGTCATCCCTCAGAGCAGGTAGATACAGCAGGTCGTCTACACTGGAGTCCCCGGGGTGGCGGGGCTGGGGAAAGGGTTGGCCACAGGAGGCAGATGTGCTGCTCCAGAAAGGTGGCAGAAGAGAGAGGCCTGGCCCAGACGGGGATGTTGGGTTAGAAAGGAGGTGAGCCGGGCTCAGCGGCACGCCCCTGTACTCCAGTGAGGGAGGAGGTTGAGGCAGGAGGATTGCAAGTTCAAGGCCAGCCTCAGCCACTTAGCAAGGGCCTATCTCAAAATGAAAAGGGCTGGAAGGTAGCTTGGTGGTGGAGTGCCCGTGTGTCCGGTCCCTACAGGAGGCCAGGGTGAGCCTGCTGTCTGTCCCCTCCCCCTCCTCCGGGCAGCCAGAGAGGGCACATTCCAGATGAAATTAAATCACATTCCTCCATCCCTCCCCGGGAGGATGGCATCACTGACAGCAGCTGTGACACCAGAGGGTCAGGCCCACAGCAGCTGGTCCCCCTGGGTGGGGGCCGGGGTGCAGGGAGTGGAGGGGCCAGGACTTTCCTTTGGGGGCCGTGGCTGAGCAGAGATTTTGTGTGTGGTACTGGACCACTGAGCCGCATCCCTGCCCTTTTTATTTTGAGGTAGGGTCTCTCACTAAGTTGCCGAGGTTGGCCTCAAATTTATGAGGGTCCTGCCTCCTGTGGTTCTTTTTTTTTTGGGGGGGTGGAGGTACTGGGGATTGAACCCAGGGGCTCTTAACCACTGAGCCACACCCTCAGCCCTTTTTTATATTTTTATTTAGAGACAGGGTCTCACTGAGTTGCTGAGGCTGGCTTTGAACTTGCCATCCTCCTGCCTCAGCCTCCCCAGCCACTGGGGTTCCAGGCCTGGGCCACTGTTCCGGCTCAGCTGTGGTTCTTTGGCCCCAGAGGCCAGAGCCAGCGTGGTAGCCATGGCAACAGGAGGGGCAAGGGTTAGACCAAGGGGCGCCCCCTCTGCATGGAGCCTCGGGGAGTGATCCAGCTGGACCAGATGGGAGCACCAAGGCCCCACGGGAGCCATCCTTGTAACCTCTCCTTCTGAGAGGACCCTGCAAGAGCACGCCCCGGGCTCTGGGCTGAGCTCCCACACGACAGGCCAGCAGAGGGGCCCTTTAAGAGCCACACTCTGAGCAACCTTGGCCGGATCCCAAAGCCTGGGCTTTGATTTCCTTTGAGACTCTGGCAACAGCCCGCAGTGGCAGCGAGGGGACAGTGGACAGCGTGAGGCTGGGCTGAATGGAGAGCTCAGCCCCTGACCTCACCCTCAGAGGCGCCTCAGCCTGCGCTGCCTTATAAGGAAATGCCCCAAACAAACCGAGGAAGCCACCTCCGGCCCCCCACCCTGTCCCCGCCCCACTCAGAGGCTATATTTACCCAGAGGAGGCCCCAGAATAGCCTCCCACTTGTCCTCCTGCTGTGTGCCTGGGGCGGGGGTGCTGTCCCCCCTCAGTCCCTCCTCAGATCCTCCCTGGGGACTCCACCCCAGCAGTGTGTCCCGTTTCCTGGTCATTCACTGTGTTTATGGCCATCCAGTGGGCTCCTGGGCACCCATCTGGCCTCGGGGTGCAGAGCAGGACAAAGTCCTGGCCTTCTGAGAGCTCTCACAATGACAGGGACAGTTTTCCTCCTGTCTTTTTTGTGTGTGGGGGGGTGGGTGGAGCGGGGACGGACACTGGGAAGTGAGCTTGATCCTGACCTACAGCCCCAGTCCTTTTATTTTTTATTTATTTTTTTTATTTTTTATTTTTTATTTTTTTTTTAAATTTCTTTTTTTTTTTTTTTTTAAAGAGAGAGTGAGAGAGAGGGGGGAGGGGGACAGAGAGAGAGAGAGAGAATTTTAACATTTATTTATTTTTTCTTAGTTCTTGGCGGACACAACATCTTTGTTGGTATGTGGTGCTGCTGAGGATCGAACCCAGGCCACACGCATGCTAGGCGAGCGCGCTACCGCTTGAGCCACATCCCCGGCCCCCCTTTTATTTTTTAAATCCAAGGGCCTCGCTCAGTTGCCAGGACTGGCCTTGAACTTGAGGTCTTCCCTGCACTGCTTGGCTTCCCAGAGGCTCCTCCAGGCCTTCGCCTGCCTCTGCTCTCTACTGCGTGTCCCCGAGGGGCTCTGTCTGGCCTCTCCTCCTCCTACGCGCTCTGTCCTGGGAGACCCAACTCCTACCTCCAGCTTTTCCTGAGCTCCACATCCACATCGGTACCCTCGCCCACAGCACCTTGTCTTGGAGGTCTCAACTCCCCACCAGATTCTCCATCTCAGCCACGGGGACCCCCTTCTCCCAGGTGCCCAGGATAACACCCTGGGAAGCTCTGCTGCCCTGTGTCCCCCACCTCCCCCGAGGGCGCGCCAAGGAGCAGACCCTGCTCCCCATCCGCATCTCCTCTCCATCCTGGCTGCTGCCCTCTGGGCCAGGACCACTGGGTGGCCTTTTTGAAGCATTGCTGCCAGCTCTAATAGATTCTCCTGCAGCAACCAGGCTTTACTCACAATGACAACCTGAGCAGGGCCCACACCTGTAATCCCAGCTGTTCAGGAGGCTGAGGCAGGAGGATTTCGAGTTAAAGGCCAGCCTCAGCAAAAGCCAGGTGCCACGCAACTCAGGGAGACCCTGTCTCTAAATAAAACACAGAATAGGGCTGGGGGTGTGGCTCAGTGGTGGAGCACCCCCAGTTCATTCCCCAGTACAGGAAGGAAGGAAGGAAGGGAGAGAGGGAGGGAGGGAGGGAGGAAAAAAAGCAACATTCCCCAAATGCGAACCTGGCCCTCTGGCCATGCGGCCCCTACTTAGGCTCCCTGTTTCTCTTGGGAGGAAGCCCCTGGCGCTCCTCAGTCCCCTAGGACCCCTCCCTCATGCCCTTTCTCCCTGCCCCTCAAGGGCCCCCTCACTCTTCGGGCCCCAGGACTTTGCACATGCTGCTCCCACTGACTAGGTCCCTCGCCCCCCCTTCCTTTCCACCCACTGGCCACTTCTGCTCATCCTCCAGGCCCTGGGGCAGCCTTCCCTGACCGCTCCCTCTCGAAATACCCCAGGCCTGGTCAGGTGAGGTGACCTGCTCTATGGTCCCCAAACCTAGGGGACTTCTCTCTTTTCAAATGTGATTTCCATGCCGGGCACACACCTGGAATCCCACCCGTTCAGAAGGCTGAGGCAGGAGGACTGCGAGTCCGAAGCCAAACTCAGCAAATGAGGGAGGTCTTCAGCAACTCAGAGACCCTGTCTCTAAATAAAACATTTTTTTAAAAGGGCTGGGGATGTGGCTCCGTGGTTAAGCACCCCTGGGTTCAATCCAAAAAAAAAAAAGAAAGAAAGGATTTCCTCATGGAAGACTTTGTTCAATTAGTAGGTAAGGGCTTTCAGAGTGAGGAAGCGGGTTGTTGTTTGTCCCTGGATTCCCAAGGCCTGCACAGTACCTGGTGCATACTAGTTGCTCAGTAAATAGCTACTGAAGGGGCTGGGGATGTGGCTCAAGCGGTAGCGCGCTCGCCTGCATGCGTGCGGCCTGGGTTCGATCCTCAGCACCACATACCAACAAAGATGTTGTGTCCGCCAAAAACTAAAAAGTAAATATTAAAAAATTCTCTTTCTCTCTCTCTCTCTAAAAAAAAATAGCTGCTGAAAATTACAGTCATGGGCTGGGAATATAGCTTAGTTGGTAGAGTGCCTGCCTCACATGCACAGGGCCCTGGGTTCAATCCCCAGCACCATAAATAAACAAGTAAAAATCTTAAAAGTGACAGTCACTCCCATTATCACAACCCATGTCCCTGAAACTGTCCAAGCCTCATTTCTCTTGCTGCATTGACACACTCTGACTTCCAACGTGACCTTACAGATGCCCTTTAGAAAAGTCCTTCCTCTGTCTAACTTACATCCCTAACCCCTGTTTGGGATTATTGTTTGGGTAACTCTGCAGGGGACCCTGGTACTTAAGGAGCGGGGCAGGATGTGCTCCCAGGCACCGGGAAGGGCAGCTTGGCTGGGCCTTTGTCCTGGGCACTCGCCCAAGCAGGGTGCCCACGGGCCTGGCAGGATCAAGCACAGGGTGCGCCTGTCCCATTAGAGGGGCAGGGATGGCCTCGTTGCCTCCTGCCGATGTCTGGCCGCCTGGTGGGATCCGACAGGGCCTTGTTAGCAGGGCACAGGAAGAGCCAGGAGGCCTGTGTGGCCAGGAGGTGGGGGGCAATCCTGGGCCTCCAGGGCAGGAGAGTGGGAAGTGGGCCTGGTGCCCAAGTCGGTCTGGATGAGACAGAGGCAGAGCAGCCAGGCTGCCAGGGACCTCCCGCCCGCCCCTCCCGGGCCAGAGGACCCGACTCAGGGCCAGCAGGGCTCCGACTCCCTGCTCTTTCCCCAGCCCTCAGCCCTGGGCCCGAGGAGTGGAACAGCCCACTCCCAGGCGTGGGATCATCTCCAAGTGAGGACCCTTGGTTGGCAGCCCCTGCCACCCCACCCGGGGTATTCAGGGGGGTCGCCGGGTCCTCCTTCCCCCCAGCACTGAGCACAGAGCTGGCCTATTTAGGTATCCTGACTTCAAGGCCTCGGGCTCCGCCTAATCCAGGAACTCCCGGACCCTCCCTGGCCTGTACCAGGACCCAAAGAACTGGGAAGTGGGGGGCCGGGGGACCAGCAGAGGCTTGGTGTGGCTCTCGCCCACTGATAACACAGCCCGACTACCCCACTCCCTCGCTCTGACCCCTAATGGCTTTGGTCTACTCCCCTCCTCCCCACTGTCCCTTCCCCTGCTTAGCCTGTGAGGAAAGTCCTACTGAAGATCTAAGCTGAAGATCTAAAGCTGGCTCCAGTGGCTCAGGCCTGTGATCCCAGCCACTCGGGAGGCTGAGGCAGGAGGACTGAGTTCAGAGCCAGCCTCAGCCACTTAGCAAGATCCTAAGCAACTCAGCCAGACCCGGTCTCGAAGGAGATGTGGCTCAGTGGTTAAGCACCCCTGGGTTCAATTCCCAGTCCCCACCCCCTCCAAAAACTCTAAGAGGCTTCCCCAGCCTCTCTCCTGTTCTCCCTGCCCCAGGAGGCCACCAGAGTCATGGAGTCACGGGGTGCGACTTCCCCCCTGCACAGCTGAATCTGAGGTGCAGAAAGCCCTGGGCCGAGGCCACACAGCCAGGCTAACGCAGACCAGACGTCCCCCCCTCGCCCCATTCCGACTCAGCCGGTTATCACAGGCCAGACAACTGTTTGGGTTTGGGGACAAGGGGGCTTATTATGCTGGCGGCACTGAGGGGCTGCTGGGAGGACGCGCAGGGGTGGGGTGGCCCAAGACCTAATCATTGTAATCAGTGCCGCAGACAGAGATGACGAGGGCCGGCGTCTGCAGACACTGAGGTCACCCAGGCTGGCCTTCTGCAGGGCTGCTGCCCGCTGCCCCAGTCCGTGGGTCTGTCCGCCTAGTGTCCCCCCTGAGGCCGACGCTGGCTTTTCCTGCTTCCTTCCCAAAATCTCCCCGCTATTTCTGCTCTTCTGCCCGCCCTGAGGACCCCCTGAGTGTGGGAAGGAGGAGCACAGACGCTGTAGGTGGAGGCACGGTTTTATTCAAGCAGGGGTGAGCCGGGCAGGGTGACAGTACGGCCCGGATGAGGGGTCAGGACACGGGCACACTCTTCACGTCCATGAGCCACAGGGCAGGCCTCCCAGGAGGGCGAGGCTGCTGCAGCAGCGGGTGGCACAGGGCTGGGGAGCCCTGGTGGAGGCCACCACTGTCCCCTCCCTTGGGAGATGGCAGAATCTGAAGTGTTTGTTTTTGGGGACAGGCTCCTGACACACCCCCTTTCACCTGAGCCAGCCGGGCATCTGGTCCCTCAGAAACCACAGACCTAGGATTGTCCGTGAAGGGTGCTGCCTCTCAGCCGGGAGGGGACTTGGGGCCAACCAGGTCCTGAGTGCCACGCTTCTAGTCCTCCCCGGAGGACCAGGAATCCCCCTCTCCTTCCCTTGGGGCGAACTTCAGGAACCGGCCAGGGCCCAGGTGGACAGGAGCCCCCGCCCGAGGGGTCTTCAGGGCAACCCCCTCCTCTTCCTGTAAGGGGACCTCTCTGTCCCCATCAGGGGCCTCAGGCGTCCCCTGCCCTGTGCCCTGGGACGGCTGCAGCCCATTCATCACCCTGCCATCCCCGTCTTCCGGCTCCTCCTCCAAGCTGTGGTCTCCCCCGTTGACACTGAGGGCGTCCCCTGCCCGGGGGCCCGGGGCTTCCTCCCCTCTGGGGGTCTGTAAAGGCCCCGAGTCTGGGTCCTCCCTCTCCAAAGGAGCGGAGTCAGACTCCTCCTCGGAGCCCGAGGGCTCAGCACTGTCCTGGGACTCGGTCTCCAGAGCAGTCACAGAGGCCTTCAAGCCATGGTCCCAGGGGACACTGACACCCACGGTCTCAGGCTCCAGGAGGTCCCCTCTCTGAGAGCTACTCAGAGTCTGGAGGCTGCTAACAGAGGCCCCTGGCCCCCACCGAGGAGCCCCCGGCCCCCTCCCCTCCTCTTCCTCCTCCTCTTCCTCCTCCCCCTCCTCCCCACCCTCCTCCTCGTCTGCAAACCCATCGGACTCCCCATCCCCGTCCCAGACCTCCGGCTTCGGCATCTGGGGCACCTGGCCCAGAGGTTCTGCCAGCTCCCGGGGGTCTCCAGGAAGAAGGGCCGCCTCAGTCACCAGATCCTCAAACTCCTCTGACAGGTCGGAGTCCTGGCCCTGCCCTTCCTCCTCCTCCTCCTCCTCCTCCTCCTCTGAGGGCTGGGCCCCGGGGCCCTTGGAGACCAGGGCAGTGGGATCCCAGCCCTCCTTCCTGGCTTCCCCTAGTGGGGAGGGCCTCTGTTCTCCTGCCATGTCCCACCTGGGGGAGGCAGGGGATTGGAGGTAGAGGCCCAGGGGAGTGGAGTCCGGAAGGGTCTCCCCTAACTCATCCGCCTCGCTCTCTTCGCGGCTTTCCTCCCCCTCCTCCTGGGGGTCTTCCGAGACGTCTCCAGGACCTAACTCCTCCTGCTCACCCTGCACCTTTCTCAGGGCTTCAGCCCCCCCTTCCAGCCCCCAGCCAGCCGCCAGGCTCCCCTCATCCTGGGGCTGAGGCCCAGGGGCATCTCCCAGGACTGGGGTGGGCCGCCAGGGTTCGGGGGGCCTGGGGCTGGGGGGCCCCAGCGCTGGTGGAACATCCTCGCTTTCCTCGGAGCCCGGAGCCTGGGGCTGAAAGGTCCCCCTTCCTGAGGTGTCCACGGGGGACCCCTCCTCTGCTCCCCAGGGGGCCTCCGACTCTGACCCCTCCAGGTCCTTGGGAGGCTCCGGAGGGTCTCTGCTTGTCCCCAGGACATCTGCCTCCTCTCGGTCCTTCCCAAAGAGCTGAGCTCTCTCTGCCCCGGAGCCCTCTTCCCCCAGGGGTGGCCACGTCCCCTCCTGTCCAGCCTGGTGCCCTGGGTCCTCCAATCCCATCACCTCCTGCTCCGGTGCCAGCTTGGCTCCTACAGCAGCCTCGCCTCTGGCCGTCTCTGGTCCCCAGGCGACCTCCAGGTCACCCTCTGAGGCCTCACCCTCATCTGCCCTCGGGGGCTCTGTCCCCCCTGGCTTTCCTGGGGAAGCTCCCAGGCCTGGGGCTCCCACCGGCTCCGCTGGCCCCGCAGCGTCCTGGAGGCCCTCTGTGTCTCCCTTCCCACGGGCTCCCTCCGCTGGGACACTCTGCTCCCCGGGCCCAGGGCTCCCTGGGCTCCCTGTGCCTCCTGTGACATTGGGCTCTGGCGCCTCTGGCTGCGCCACCTCCTCCTCCCCATCCTGCTCCCTCAGGTCGGGCTCTGCCTCGTCCTCACTTCCCACTCCAAGCCTCCCAGGGGGGGCTTCCTGGCTCAGTGCTTGGTCCCCCACAGCCCTGTCCTCCCACCTCTGATTTGTGGACCAAGGCGGCTCCTGCCCCTCCTCTCCCAGGGACTTCAGTGACTCTTGAGTCTCTCCCTTCTCCAGTCTCTCTTCCTCTTCCTGATCCCTTGGACTTTCCTTCTCTGCCTCTTTTGGGAATCCCGGATTCTCTAGGTCCCACTCACCCAGAGATCTTAGTGGTTCTTGAGTCTCCTTTTCTAGGGGTCTCGGTGTCTCTTGGTTCTCTTCCGCAGACGCCAGTGGTTCTTGAATTTTCTTTTCTACAGGTTTTATTGTCTCCTTATTCGTTTCTTCTAGAGACCAGAGTGGCTCCTGAGTTTCTTGACATTTCAATATTTCCAGGTTCTCTTCTTCTGCAGACTCGAATGGTTCTAGATTTTTTGTTTCCAAGGACCCCATGGCCTCTCCACTTTCTTCTTTCGGTGACTTGGATAACTCTTGGTTCTCTTTTTCAAGAGACCTAACTATCTCTTGGTCTTTTCCAAGAGACTTCAGTGACTCTGGATCCACCTTTTCTAGAGATCTCCATGTCATCTGTTCTTCTTCCCCTAGAGCTGCTGATGGCTGTTGAGTCTCTTTCTCTAAGTGTCTCAATGTCTCTTGGTCCTCTTCCTGAGAGGAACACTCCTGATCCTCTTTTTCTGGAGGCATGATACTCCCCTGGTCCTTTTCTAGAGAACTTTGGGGCTGTTGAGTTTCTTTTTCAAGAGGTATCACAACCTTCTGGTCCTCTTCCTCTAGAGACCACAGTGGCTCCTGAATCTCTTTTTCTAGAGGCCTCACAGTCTTCTGATCTTCTTCTTCTTCTAGATACCTCAGTGGCTCCTGGTTCTCTTTTTCTAGAGGCCTCACAGTCTTCCCATCTTCTTCTTCTAGATACCTCAGTGGCTCCTGGTTCTCTTTTTCTAGAGGCCTCAAAGTCTTCCCATCTTCTTCTTCTAGATACCTCAATGGCTCCTGGTTCTCTTTTTCTAGAGGCCTCACAGTCTTCTGATCTTCTTCTTCTAGATACCTCAGTGGCTCCTGGTTCTCTTTTTCTAGAGGCCTCACAATCTTCTGATCCTCTTCCTCTAGAGCCTTTGGTGGTTCCTGATTCTCTTTTCCTGGAGGTCTAAATGTCTCCTGATTCTCATTTTCAAGAGCCCCCAGGAACTCCTGATTCTCTTTTGGTAGAGATCCCCATGATCCCTGGTCCTCTGGTTCTTCAGATCCCAGAGGCTGTTGGTTCTCCTCTTTGAGAGCTCCCAATGATTCTAATTTTTCCTCTTCTGGAGACTTCACTGATTCTTGATATTCTTTTCCTGCAAATAAAACTGTCTCTAGATTACCTTCAAGAGACATCATTAGTTCTTGGTTCTCCTTTTCTAAGGATTGCAATGTCTGTGAGTCCTCTTTTCCTATAAGTCTGGGTAGTTCAGGAGCCTCCTTTTCTAGAGGTCTCTCCAACTGCAAGTCTTTTTCTTCTAAAGATTTCAGTAGCTCTGGATTTTTGTTTTCTAGATCTTTTCGTGTTTCTAAGTTCTCTTCCTCTAAAGACCTCAGAGATTCTTGATCTTCCTTCTCTAGTGCCTCATGACTCTGGTTTTCCAAGGACATTTGTGGCTCTGGAATCTCAATTCCCCCAGTCTTCAGGGTTTCTTTTTCCAAAGGATCCCGATCCTGAATTTCTTTCATGTCCAAGTCTCCTTCTTCTGGCCATGTTTTCTGCTGCACGTTTCTCACTACGTGGACCTCTGTGGCTGCTTCTGTCTCTACTAGCCCCCATACTTGCCCTTCACTTTCTTCCTGGAATCTGCTGGATGCTATAGATCCACTGGGTTCTCCATCTTTAGCCTCTAAACTGGGATGATCAAGGCCAAGGGGTGGGGCCAAAGAGGACTGATTCTCAGGTGATTGGCTTGTACTGGCCTCTGGCTGCTTGCCCCCTGGCTCCTGTGGTCCTGGGAGGATGCTGGCAGGGACAGCCCCCCTGGCTTCAGCCCACACAAGCTCTGGAGCCTGTTGGCTCTCACCCTGCGGCTGGACGGAGGAGACAGGAGCATCTTGGGCTCTGGCCGCTACATTGGTAGCAGGACAGGAAGCCTGAGGTGTGGGTGGGATGGGGGTGCTGGCCAAGGCGGGGGTAGGGGCCTGCAGGCACTCGTGGCTCTTTAGAAAGGCTGGCACAGGTGTCTCAAGGGCATTAGGCAAGGGAGATGGGAGGGCAGTGGGGCTAAGAACAGGAAGCAGAGGTCCCAGACGCCGGCCCTCTGGGGTCCCGGGGAAATGCAGCTCTGGCTTGGGGTCTGGAAAGGTAGAGGAGGAAGAACAGTGTCAGTATGTACTGGTCCTCCGGGGAGCCACCAGGCAGCCATCACTTCCGGCAGGAGTGCAAGGGACGACAGGCTAGGCTGAGAGTATGTCCAGCGCTTTGGGGGCCAAGGAGTTAAGACTTAGAAAAATCTGCCTGGGTAAGAAAAGCCCAGCAGCTAGGGATTCAGGGGGAACCTGGCCCCTTCTCTTACCGGGGAAGCTGAGGGAAGCCTTGGAACTGCCACCAGGGGTCTGTAGCCGGGAGTTCTCAGCCTCCAGGAGGGTCCTGGGGAGAGGGAGGAGAAGCTGGGTCAGCCTTGGGTCCTCAGGAGGCCTGCGGCTGGCCACTGCAGGCTCCCCCTTCCTTTAACCACTGTCACACAAAAGCCACCCACAGGGTGAAGCCACAGCCACAGACATCACACACTTGGTCACACAGAGTCACACACATATTCGGGGCACTCTGGGGACCTCAAAGATGCACAAGCGGATTCCCACACGGTCAGACGCAGGGCCACCAGCACATCACTGGTGGCTTCACCGTCTCCCCCTCCCTCCCCCTCCCCCGGGCTCCCCCTCCCATCCCAGCCCATGACCTCATCCCCGGGTTGGGGGGCCAATTCTCATGCTAATTCCTGCCTTTGTCCCCGTGGCCATCTGGAGGGTCTGAGAAGGGGGGCTTCTCGGGGAAGTGGGAATTCTCAGGCTGTTCCCAGGGGATGGGCTCTCTCCTCCTCCCCTGGGATCCCCCAGAGCTGGCGACAGACAAAAGCAAATGAATTCAGCTCCTTCTCTGCAAATCCTTTTCAGGCCTCAAAAACCAGCGGTTGCATTCCTCAGGGGAGCCCAGACCCTTCCCCTCAGTGGTATGGGGGTCAAGGCCCTCATCTTGGGCTCTCTAAGGGCTCTGCATCCCAAGCCCCTTCAGGGAGTGGAGGTCATTCTGCCCATGCCTCTGCCTCAGCGCCGCATCGGGCTGACTGGGGAAGGGAGGACCAATCAATCATATAAATTATTATTATTACCTTTTTGTACCAGGGATTGAACCCAGGGGCACTAAACCACCAAGCCACATCCCTAGCCCTTTTTATATATGTATATATATTTTTGTTTAGAGACAGGGTCTCACTGAGTTGCTTAGGGCCTTGCTAAGTTGCTGAGGCTGGCTTTGAACTCCTGATCCTCCAGCCTCAGCCTCCAGAGCCATTGAGATTACAGGCGCATGCCACGCGCTGGCTCAAAAAAGTTATTCTGAGCATTCACTCTCCTCTTTTCCATGATCCAGCGGCTGTGGGATCCACTGTAGTGTCACCTCTGTTCTTCTGGAGGCAGCATGGGCTCTCTATGCTCTGTGGACGTGGGGTCCCTCTCTTCCTCTGGGGCCTGGCTCCCTTCCCTTCCTGGGTCTGTCTCAGAGCCCCTTGCCCTTTCTGCCAGTGGACTCTTGTGCTCTATCCTAAAAGCTCATCCAGCCCTGAACTCCTACCCTGTGGATGTCACTGGATCCTCAGGCAGCAGAGAGCTTGCAGAAGAGATGTGGCTCTGGCCCAGGCAGAGTAGCCTTGCTCAGCCTCTCCCGGCAACAGAGGGGCGGTGCCCTTGGGCTACAGAGGAGTCAGAGCCCCGATCTTCAGGCTAAAAGGTTCCTCAGACAGATGTCACCCAGTTCAGCTCTTACCTATAGTCAAGGCTATGATCCTGGTCAGGTGACAAGTCACTATGACAACCCACACAGGCAAGGACTCCTTTCTTTTTTCTTTTGATACCAAGAATTGAACCCAGGGATGCTTAACCACTGAGCCACACCCCCAGCCCTGTTTTGTGTTTTATTAGTGACAGGGTCCCACTGAGTTGCTTAGGGCCTCACTTAGTTGCTGAGGCTGGCTTTGAACTTGCGATCCTCCGATCCTCCTGCCTCAGGCTTCCTGGGATTGCAGGCAAGCACCACTTTGATGGGCTGCAAGGTCTCCTCTCTGAGGCTGCCTGAGGACATTTCCCCCTGGTGCGACCACACACACACACACACACACACACACACACACACACACACA